GCAACGGGCATTGGGCTAAAGAAAAAGGATGACCTTTTTTTCAAAGTAGTGATAGCTTGCTTAATAATGAAGCCCTCACCATTCGACTGAATTGATTTAAGAAATTTGACACAAAGGCCTTTTTCTCATGTAAACATGCAGATACTCTTGCGATGGAACGCATATCTTTACTTTCAAACAAATGCTAGTGTTTGCCTCCAGGTTTTTGTTCTAAGAGGTATCTAGTTGAAATAATCCTATTTAGACAGTGGGAGGGGCTATGGCTATTTCGTAGATCACACAATCATAATCAAACACGCTGATTGTCTTTGCAGGTTAAAACGACTTTAAGTTTAACAAATTTGACCTAAGTTCATCACTGCCTAAATCAACAAATATCTCTTATATTTATCTCTGAAGACAAACCACTTCATTAGAATCAACACAAATCATAATTCTCTACATTGTTAATAAAAGGCAACTGTTTACTCATATCTCAATGAATTCATTATATTCAACTAATTTTACATCTTAAAGTTTCATTTATTTACCAAAATTTATCTTTCATGTTCGCAAACATTTTTTATATGTGTAAATATTGAAGGAGACTCAACAACTAACTTCTGTAATCTTTACCTTTTTAATACAATAAAATATCGGCTACAAGAGATGCAGAAATATTTGTAAACTTAATTATTTAGGTCAGAAGACAATCTTAGCTAGTAAGATGGTATTTTTTCTGGGAAGAAGAAATTATTTAGATAATCGAAATGTCCAACATCTTTCGAAAAGGACAAATGAATGGAATATTTTGATTAAAAATACAGACCACTGGCAAAAAATATTTACTTTCCCTTAAATATTATTTTAAATTACAAATTTTAGCTTTGTGGACTTCCTCTATCAGTGCACGAATACTCTGTTTGGTTTATGATACCGACTGATGGTGTTATAGATTGGACAGATTATTGTCTCTATTATTTTTATTTCAGCAAATATTGATTGCTCTGGGCAGAATTTTGGACTTGGTCTTACATCTGATATTTCAGATGTTGCCAGGCAACGAAACATACGCCCACACCAGCTAAGTTGTCTGGGCAGTCAACAAGGGTTGTTGCATATCTTTATCTTTTGTCAGTAATGAAAACATTTACGACACACTAAAATCTGATTACGAATAACAATCTATTAAAGATACCTTCCCATGTACAAACTGGGTGATTTGATGATATATTTGGACTAAAAACATATTCACACTAATTAATCTATCCAAATTTTGCTCCAAATCTCGCTATAAAAAGTCTATTAAAAGAGGTAATGTTTGTGTCCCGCGACTTGGCTGATGCGCTACCTAGGAACATGTGTGAAGTCGGAAGAGAATTCATTACATATACAAGACGATGTTGTCTTTAATCGCTGTTCATTTATCATAAATATTGAAGCCTAATTAAATTCTGAGATTAAACACTGCCTACATCTTTTTCCACGGTTTTTATCTCAGAAACTGTTGTTATTTAAGATCTTGAAGTGCTCACTAATGCTGGGAGATCTGACAATCTTTGCGTGCAACCTTTATTGGAAATAACCACCTGATAAATACTTTTCTGGGAAAGTATCTTTAAACATACATTATGCAAGAGCTAAATCTGCCTATTATAGGTCTTTCTCTAGGCATGAAATATTAAATAAACTATTAATTAGACATTGATTAAAGTATCCAAACCATAATCAACTGTCGATGTCAACGCTAGCCTGCGATAATTGTTGGATTATGATCCGATTTGCTGCATAACTTTCCTTCTCGATTTAATGATTAAGTGGATAATCGAGACTATGATTTTTGTCGTACCGACTTTAATAATGATGACCGAGGCTATGCGGAACTTTCGATCGCTATTTCTCGGTTCATAGTGGATCAATTTGACTGAAATTTTCCGCAAATTGCCTTTACATTATCTAGTTTTAAACTATTATAGTGAGAACTGCCAACTTGTTATCTAATCTCCCATAATGTATCTTTAAGTAATTATCAGAAATCATTAGAATACTTTTGGCTTCTAGTTCTGCCCTATACTACGCTAAGTATACAAAATATTTAAGATCAAGGGCCATAACTCTAAAAGTAATTATCGGAAATCTTTGAAAATCTATAGGCCTCATCGTCTCATGACCGTAAACACTGTGTATAAATTTAAAGTCAATCAGATATATTAGAGCGTCCACAACATTTTTCAAAAACATTAAGGACCATAACTTTAGCGGTAATTATCAGAAATCGTTGAGAGAGAGAAATGGGGTTTAACATCCACTTGACACAAACTAGGACTAACACATGGTTCAATTTTATTTCAATAATTCGCTTGCGCGTAGGGGTCTTTAGCAGTGGGAGGACATATTTACTCGGAAATTCTGCCTGGACAGCAACGCTACGGCCTACTCTTATATCAAATTCCAACTGCCAAGGGATCTTTTACATGCACGCCAATGTGTACACAGGACATTGTTTTTTTGTCTCATCCGAATGACTAGACAGCTGTCCTTGTCAGGCCCTCTGATCTGCACCACTGACAAGCGGAAACCATGCTGGAAAATCCCGATGAACTTTCTCAACCAACAGTGGAATCAAACCCACAACCTTATTTACTCGGAAAAACCAATCTATAAATAAATTCATAATATACAAAATACCAGCACATTTTGAGAGTATACTTTCTTCCCTTGCTTCTTTTTTTTTAACAAGTACACTTGGCTTCAGACCAGTGATTTTTTAAATACTATTTTTTTTTTCTATCTGTGAGATCTTTAACACCTTAGAACATACAATGAAAAATATAAGCTAAAAAAGTGTTTTGTGCACTGATGAAAAATGTTTTAATTGTTTTTCCCAAGACCTTATCAATTAATTAGAATTTACTGTTAGTTTCCTTTCTTTGTTTATCTGCCAACCTTAACACTAGCTTGTTCGAGGCAGGACAACAAGAAAAGATAAAGAATGTTTGAAAAAAGGTCCAAAATGTTCCGAAGGTGAGAAAAGAGATTAGAAGTAAAATCCGTCAAAACAAAATTGGCCACATAGCGTGAGCAGATCATGCATTCGGGTTAAGCGTTAGAAGTTTACTTTAACAAATAACAAAGTGCGTTGATCACATTGTGTGTTAAAACATGAGGTGCAAACAAGTAAACTATCTTTGTTGGCTGCCTCAGGTAGTTGACACCTTCACTGAAAAACTGTTTGTCAAATCCATCAATATCCTTTCTTACTCAAACGCTCAATAAACTTTTTTGTCAATCCTGTCACGATTTTCTGACACTGTTATAAAACTTGCCTTTTCATACCAATATTTTCTTTTCCTTCCTTATACAGGATTTGTAAGTGGGATTGAAAGTAACAACTTTATTTTATGTTGTAAACTAGTTGAGCAGGCATTTCATTTTCCAAATTTGCATTTTTATAGATTTTAGAAAAACATTTTTCTTGAATAATTTATTTTAAACCCTCAATAATGTTGGACTTGTCTAAAAAAAAAAATAATTAAAAATGTTTTTCCAAGAATTCTAATAAAGATGTCATCCTTGTGTCTACAGTATTTGTAAAATACATTTTGAAGGCATAATATAGTAAATAGAATTTTAAGCTACATATGTAATATCTTGAGACTTGAATTTACTAATCAACAAGTTAGTTTGATAGAAAGGTATATTGTAGCCCAGCTACAACAAAAGGATCATGGTCTATATTGACTGATGAGATATACCAATGTGGTTTTGGTTGAGAGAGTTTGACAAAGCTTCAATAAAGCTACAAAAATAATAAGCTGTTCTACAGGTTTTTGAAACTAGTTGAATTGCCTCCAGCACTAATCAACTATTTCTTAGATTGGAGAATGTATTTGATTTAAATCTGTTTGAAAATTCTATTCATGAGCTTTTACAGTCAACAGTTTTTGTTAATGGAACAATGAAACATACACTTTGACGCTCTACATAATAAGTCATTAAATTTTCTTCTCACCAATGTGACATCCAAAATAAAACAGATTTTAGACAAAAATTCTGTTTAAACAATAATACAATTTGGACTAGAAACTTGTGTATGGAATTGCTCATTAATATATTTCATGATTGAATAATTTTGTTTACAAAGAATGTCATTCTGAATGTTACCAAAAATACCAGAAACAAGAAAAGAAATGACATTTAATTAAATGGTAATATCTGTAAGTTGACCATCTTATCAAACAAATAATATCCATACAAGTTTTACACACATCTGATATTTTATAGAATTATTAATTTTAAACTATCTATTTGTTTTATCACTTTTCAACATACATTTTTATAAAATAATAGGAGTAGAAATGTACAGAAGGTGATCATCACTGACATGTTCAAATAAGAAGTGAAAACCTGTGAGTAATTATTACTTTACAGAACATTTTGTATGTTGAATAAACTAAATTTTTGGTGATTTATTGAATTGAAATCTCTGACACATATCTTTCTATATAAGCATAAAGCAGGTTTAAATAACTAAATAAATTTTGAAAAAAATATGACATGAATGCATTTTTGAATGTAAAAAGAACAAACACTTATCTGTAACAAGTTTAAGGTAAATGCATACCCATGTTTTTGTCTATTTTAGAAAGATGTACTGTAGATATATGTACCATACATGTACAATGAACCATCAACGTACAGATACATGTATATTATTTTATCGTGTTTATCGAGAAGGAAAGTGAGAATGTACTGTATTGAAATGAAATAATATCTTTATAAATATTTTGTATTTATGTAATGACTGGAGATGCAAATTAAATATTTTCTTTGGCAAATTTGCAAAAGGTAGAGTGTTGACTATGGACAAGATTAGAGAAATCAGAATATGCATTCCTCTTTTAATGCAAATTAATAATATAGCCACAGCTCATTTTTAGAACACCTTACAACAACACTAATTTTAAAGACTACCTTTCATGTTTTTTTTTGTTTTTTTATTCCTTTCAACTATTACTTACCATCTTCATCAAAGTCAATGTCATCATCATCTGTAAGTTTGCGGACTTGGAATATTTGGTCAACATCTAGACTCTGAGCACTGTCTTCTTTCACTCGGCTCTTGTAGGCTGCATCATTTTGTAAATGCTGAACAGACTGAACATGATGAATCAAATTCAGTTTAACTTTGGTAGAGTACTGACACATGGCACAGTGGTAATACTTAGGGCTACTGTTGAGCTTTGCTTCTTCATATTGTAAGTGACGAAAGAGTTGAGCACTAGATTCATGTTGTAAGTTAGTTGTGTGGACGTTAAGTTTGTGAATACTGTTGGTGTAATAGTCGCAGGAATTACATCGAACCTGGACAGGATTACTAACATTCAGGTATTTTAGTCTCCATTCGTTACCAGGACCACCTTCCTTGATGTGGTTTACTAGCTGTAGACGTTGTATATGTTTATCTGTTTTACTGTGTAGTTGAAAGTTAGCTTTCAGGTTGGTTTTATACGAACACAGATTACAGAGATAAGTTCCTCCAGATACTGTCACATGCTCATTCTCTTGTTGTTTGGTTCGGTCAAGCTGTAAATGCTGATGAAGAGCCTCTAAAGAATCTGTAGTAAAATTGTTACAGACGCAACAATGAAACAGCTTGGCTGCATCAGGAATATCTTCTGCTTCCAATGGGGTGCCATTTTCTTTAGAAAGATTGACTGGTATATCAAAGCCTGGAGGTATTCCTGTCATTAACATAGACTGATCATATGGAAACATGCCTCCACTCATTGGAGATGGAAGCCCAAATAAAGAATGATCTTGCTGCCCTAGCATCATGAGTTGATTCATTTGCATATGCATATCCTGCTGCATGTGCTTCATATTTTGCTGAAGCACCATCATATTGTGGGTGTGTTTCTCACTTGTCATGTGTATGCGTAGATTTCTGGCTACAGTGGTTTCATAATTACAGACATCACAGCGCCATGTCTGCTTGGGCTTTTGTAATTTTTTAAATTGTGACTCATCAGGAAAAGAAGGAGTGGTTGGTGTTGGGGGTGCAGATGGTGGCATTTTCATTTCCGTGCTGCCATTGGCAAGGTCCTGCATGTTGTTTATGTGCTTATCAGACTGCATGTGAATGCTGAGGTTACCTTTCGTTGTGGTGGAGTAGTTACAAACTTCACACCGATATGGTTTGTATCCACATGAATATGTTTCTCCTCTTGCCAATCGTGGATGTGATTGGTTACTGAGGCAATACATACACTGAGCATCATTTTCTGGATGCTTCTCCTTCATATGAATATCAAGTGTTTCTTGATATTTGTAGTGCCAATTACATTTGGGACATTTTAAAGTTTTACATGAATTGCGTGAATGCATCATGGTCATGTGACCACCAAGTGATTGGGAAGAGCTTAAAACAATGTCACATTTGGGGCACTCTACTCCTTGCAGACGACCTTGTGGATGTTCATCACACATTCCAAGGAAACCAGGTATATTCTGTGGCAAGGGACTGGAAAGAAGTGATGCTTCTGATGAGGTTTTTGGAGAGCCTCTTCTTTCTATAATGCTGTTGATCGATAAAGAATTAGTAGCTGGGGCGCTGCCAGAGTTGATGACAAGCTTTGGTTGTAAAGAATCCGCCTCATCTTCACTAGAATCCGACTCATCTGGAATATTGTTATTATTCTCCATTTCCCTAGACTCTACAGACTTTATTCCCCACAGATTGGAATACTGATGTTTATCTTGAAATAACGGGTTAGAATTTGTTGAATTAACAACAATATCAACTGATTTTGGCTTTGTGTAGACAAAACTAGTATTAGTTGAGGATTTAGTGTCCACTACATCAGATGTACTGGGATGACATAAATTATTGTTAGACATGGAGTCATTAGAGAAAACCGGCTCTAAAAATGACATCAGTGGATGCTTATCTTTACCAACACCTTGAATGATAGCGGAGGAATTCTTGCTATTTAAAATCCTTTTTTCTTTCTCAGTAAGTTTCATTAAATGTTCTGTGGCTGCATGAGAATGAAAAGATTTGGTATATCCAAAGGACAAGCGACATATAAAACACATAAGTATGGGCTTGGTTGGAACTGTGGGACCATCTGTGTCAGTGTGGTTCTCTGTTGAGAAATCCTCACTCTTAGAGTCATTGTTATTATCTTTAGTTCGCACATCATACACTCGGTAGCTGTGCATGATAGGAGTTTGATGGTTTTTATTTGAAGAAATAGAAGACTGATAAAGGGAATTTAAAACAGATCCAGGATTTCTTGGCACAAAAAATGCATTAGCTATTTGTGGAAACACAGCTGGGGAAGAAGAAATTAAGGTTCCCTTATTGTCCACTATGGCCCCATCTTGTTGAGGTATATCTATAGAATCATTGTCACTACCGTTTGATTCACTTTCTTCTATAATATAAGCTGATCCATCTGGATTGTACACTATTTTACCATTAAAGCTTTCAGCATCACTAAAATCAGTTTCATTATTAACACAGTTGGATTTATCAGTTTGTATTTTAGAACACTTATGGTCCATGAACTGTTGCAATGTGGTGAATTCCCCATCACAGTTATCACAGTCAACAGGGTCTTCCTTATCCGAACCTATATCCATCGTTCCATTTAATTTTTCACCCAAATCTTGAGTCGATTCAGTTTTTTTAGTTTCAGGAAATAGCTGAACCTTGTTGGTTAGGTTAAGATCGCGACTTCCTAAAACTAAATTGTTGTGGTAATCAAGAAAATTTTTACTACTGCTATCATTCATTGTGGTAGCCATTTTGTTACTGGTTGCGTTAAATTGGTTGCTATCTACACCATCGATGTCTGGTAGTTGCTGATCTCCCATCGAGGTTGTTGGGGCTAAAGGGATCATCAAGTGGCCCAGAGATTCTTCCGAGACATCAGATGTTAAGGACGATATGTCCATGTTGTTTTCAATCTTTCTCGTACAGCCATTCTACTTGTATGTTGTAAAATTCATCTGAAAAATATAAAGAGAAAAAAAAGAATTATTAACCCATGTCTGATTACGCGCACATGTACATGTATAATATTAATCAATTAAATTGAGTGAAATTGTTAAGATGTCAACCTGTGTCTGCCTCTACTTACTTTACAAACAGAAAAAAATTGTTATGGCTGAAAGAAGACCATAAAAACAACATGGAAAACTAATTACTGACAAATCTAATTTTCACCAAATTGAGAGTAATAACACAAAATATTCTAATAATACAGGCCAGTTTATTGGAGGAATAATTACATATTTAAGCTTAGATAGACAACATCAAAAAACATAAAGCCAAATTACTCAGCCAAGAAATGTTTGAAAACTATAATTATAATAATTACTTTTATAAACTGTAGGGCATTAGTTATGATGTAAACAGGAAAATATCTCCAGCTAAAATAGTATTTAAATGCAGTAGAAATTATCTATGATTGCTGTCAAAAATAGTTAGATTTGACAGGCTAATGAAAAACAATTCAGCAATGGATTATTTTTAATAATCTTTTTTTTTCAAAACCAGGCTTTGCATGAACTATTATATTCTTTTGTTATTAAATATGATATGCTTAATTTGTTGGCAAATAATCTTCTTAATGGCAATTAAGAGATATAGGTAATAAGAATCAAATAAAATATCCAATTATATTAAATGGTCTTGCTTCAACATGTCTCTTAAGTCTCTGAAGATTTTCTTATAATTAGGTCTAAATACTGTCCATTTACTAACAATTATGTCATTTTGTGTCTAGAATATACTGCTTATAGAGAAGAGCTGTCGATATATATTAGAATGTTTTTTATCAGTGACAAGAGGTCATATCATTTTACATGTAATAACAGACCACTGAGAATAGAAAGAAATCCTGTGAAGAATTAGCTAGAAATGAACTTTTCTTGGCAGTTGTGCTAGATTTGATGAAGTAGACATTAAAGCTGTGACTTCACACAGATTTCAGACTGAATTATGAGTTGGCTGCTCATTACCAGCAGTTAATGTCCAATCAGGCAACTTGATACATCTAGCTAAATACCACCAAGTGTGATCTAGAAGCTTAATTAGGTTTACACAGGGTGCACTATGGGTCCGTCTGTCTCTATCAGCTTCTTATCCCTACCATCAGTTCACCAATCATACTCATCATCTCAGATCAATAAATCACCTCATACCACTCACTTTTAATACTTTTTCTTCCTCCCATTACAATATATTTATGCCTTCCTTATATTTCAATTTTTAATAATACACTTTCATTCTATTCATCTCGAAAAAAAAATCCTTGGATTCTATCAAAAGATAGAAAAAATGCAAAATGTTTTTTAAAAATTAGGTGAAAGAAAAGTAATGAAAAATTTGAAATGGATTCTTGCGTCTATTATCATTTTTTCCATTTGACTATGTCATTGAACTTATCTAATGAAATGAAATGAAATGGGGTTTAATGTCCTACTGTTCTGCTCCAACTGGGCTAATGAAGACGGGCATATGCCATACAGTGTGCTATGAGGAAAATTCTACCCGGACAGTGGCGCTACGGCCTACTCTTATATCAAATCTTTATAAAGTGCACACCAATGTATACATGGGACCTCGGTTTTTCAGCCCATCTGTTGTCCTTTGGCAGGCCCTCGGTCCTGCACCACTGACAAGGAGAAACCACACCGGAAAATCCTGAAGAACTTTCTCGGTCAAGGCAGGGATCGAACACGGGACCTCCAGGTTAGTGAGCTAACGGCTTACCCACTGAGTCACCGTGGTCCCCCTTACCTAATGAATAGGCTACTAATCAAATTAGAATGATTAAAAGCATAGTGTAGAAATGTGTTTTTTTCTAATCTAAATTTTTTTTTTTTTTTTCTATAATTCCAACTTTTGACAATTCCTGGATGAAATAATTGTAGTAGATTTAGTGTTTAAGAAAATGGTTTAGAGCTTTAAGTAGAGTGGGGCATGTGTTTCTGTGTGTGTTTGAAGTCAGTACTCATCTATTATACTTAGAGTAATTAGCATGGTGATAATATAAATAATGAATTATTAAATTGGGAGAATATTGGGTAATTTTCTTCTCCAGGTTCTATTTAAGCAGCAGTAGTAGTAGAGCAGACCACCTACTACAGAGCTTTAATATCACAGTCTTGTTTACAGTTGCTGGTGTTTTTTCTCTACACTTGTCTATCATCACAGTTTACCAGTCTTTCAAATACAACCGCCTGGGATTTATTTTTCTTTCATGCAAGGATTAACCAGCCCATACATACATATATTCTAGTTTTAGATATGATCTCCACGTCTAATTTTGAAAGCTTGGGTGAAGGTGTATATCTGATCAACAAGTCTTTTAACGCACATGTTTTATAAAGCTTAACATCAAGATCACCTGATTATCCAGGCTGTTGACTTGGCCCATTAATACTTAACACTTGTCTATTTGTAGACTTATTTTCCAGTCTTAACGCGTTGTGTTAAACCTGCCGGTGAAATAAACCATGAAATAACACAATGATAAAGTGAACACCCCAGGGTTGCTTATAAACAGCAAGCTTTGTCTCTACTCCTACTTAAAATAAGATTGGTTGAAACAGTTTTACTTCAGGCCAAATATATTAAGTCTCAGATGCTATTTCTGTACAGCTTACAAAATTATACATGCTGCCAAATATCTTATTACACATTTTATAACATTATAAACTTTCATTTACAAGCCATACGTAAAAGAAATTTGGTTAACTGTAGAGTTACAATTTTAATTTAACTACCATGTTGGTAATGCAATTTTTATATATAAATAAAACCAAGATCGCAGAAAGGTAAAAATTAAAATATTTTGATAACTGCTAATGTGTTTAGAGAGATAATTTAGTTTACTTCAATCTGCTTTTAGTTCCTATTTTTTTCACAAAAATTAACATCTAAATATATTTAAAATTTTAAAATTTAATTAATTCGCTATGTTTATGTCCATATTTGAAAGATCGATCAGTCAAAAATTTTTTTTCAGATAAATTACTTACGAGGTTTATGTTTAATTTTGACAAGAGTATAGCTTTACTCAAAGGTCTGTTAGAATACAATGTGTAACTTCTCATACTTATTTAGCTATCACCAGTATACCAGTCAACAGCCTACACTGTTAAACAAATATTACTGTATCTGGCCTAAGACGGCATGAATGGCAAAGTCATCAAACTGTATGCTTGTGTTGGTTAGAGTGTTGAAGTGTTGGGGTGATTGGCGCTGCAGAGAAAAGGTCAGAAATCTACCTACTAGTCAACCCGATTAACAGCCGCCTTTTATTGGCCTACAAATGTGTTAGGGCACTAGAAGCAAATAAAAGTAACAGTAACCACTCATTTAAACTGGTAGATAAAATGAATTTACCAAACAGTGAACATAAAACCATTAAGACATGTCTGAAACTGCCATCACCTAACACATATTTTCATAAGCTTCTATAAAAGAATCAAGTTACATAATGATTAAAACATACTTTCCTTATCTAATTTATATGTCTATTAAACTGACAATATTCTAAACCAATTTATTCAATCCTAGAAACAGTCAAACTTCACGCTCAATTTTTCAATTGTTTAGGGTTCATGAGCAGTCAGACTTCTAGACCAATCCTTGAGAAATCCACAAAATCTTTTAATATTATGGCAGGTTTTTTTTTTTAATAGCTGATTAAGCTTGATCTTCATTAATAAAAAAAAAAAAAAAAATTCATAATAAAAAAAAAATCCCACAGAGAATCATTCCATGGAGGGAAGAAAAAAAATCTGACACTTATTATACATATAATAGATGAAGTAATGTAGAAGAAATGCCCATTACTTTAACATGAAAGTTACAATCAGTCAACACTGATGATCTTAGTGTTAGAGTCAGTCAATGTTTAAATAAGCCAGACTTAGTTTGAGCTGTTTAAACAGTCCAGGTAAGACTTTTAGTAGTTTACAGTATGGAAGCTTACAAATGCCATGTTGCCTTTTCCTGACAAAGAACTGTCAATCAAAGTCAATAGAAGCTGTCATGAAAAGTGTTGTCGATTTCACAACATGTAAAAGAGAAGCACAACAGTGCTAGTAGTAGCAGGCCTACAGTTTCAAGGTGTTGGAGTAATGTGGTTACATAATGACGTTACTGATACCCAAATACACATACATACACAGGTGCACTATGGTTTACAATAAGACATTCACAAACAGACAGCTGAATCATGTTCTTATCTTCATCATCTTAGCAGGATGCTTCCAACGACTTAAACAGTGTAACATGTAACACACGTTCATTCAATGGGGGGAAGACTTAGCAATATGTCCCCAAAATCAACCCACACTAAAAAATCCTCTAAAAGTGACTCAACAAATATCTCTGATGTGAACATGTATTGATTAATTACCATTTTGATTGATAAAACATAAAATATTACCAGGAATTACATAAAGAAAATAATCAGGGCTTAATATGAAAATAAACTTTGGATAAAAAAAATGACTTCATGTTCGCTTAATTATAAGATGACATCATAGCCTTGATAAATGATTATCATTAAAAATGCACTTGGCAAAACATGTCAATCCTCCTTTTTCTCACCAGTCACAAATGTCCCTTTTTGTTTTCTATGAAATTAAACATGTTTTTAATAACGTGGATAACTTGAAAGAAATATGTAACCATAAAGAACGCAATTACTCTGACTTAAAACTGTCTTCAAGACTAAAGAAAGTAACATGATTTATTAGCATTAAGGCAAGCTTTACATCATAGTACATGTACAAGTAAAAAAAAAAAAATTCCTTTATAAGGTGTATTATTTCTAGTATCAATGCTACTGTATTTTTTTTACACAGTCTGTAACATCTACATGCTCTTTACGCAAATTCCAAGATGGTGGAATCAAACCAATTTGGCACCATGTAAATATCAATGTGTCATCTAAATTGGAAACTTCAGTTTCTCTCATTTCAATTGT